CCTCAGAAAGCTTTTGTTTGGCTGTATGGAAGCCTCAGTGCTGTCAAATGTTCTCTAGTTTAAAATAAGGAGATTTTTAACAATATTTCCTTTTGTGGATTAGTTAATACCTCTGCTTTAAAAAGTTAGAAAGTTAATTTTGCTTTCTGTTGAGTAAGATTTTAGTATTACAAATAGTCTATTTAGGTTTATGTTTTTTGTGCAGTGTGCTATCAGCAAAGCAACAATATTTCGTTATTATGCTGACACTAGGAGGAAAGGAAATCACTTTTCCTTAGAAAATAGTGGAAATAATTTTAATAATGTTTTAGGTTATTCTGAGGTCAAGGGAACCCAGTCCAAAATAGGGAAACTCAATTATACAAGTAGTACAGAATAAAGATACTGCAATGAAAACCAAAGGAGCACAAAAATGTCCCCACTACTACATTTTGATTCCTCTAGGACAAATATGACACTTTTATGAGGATTCACAGGAGGACTGATTCTGCAGGAGGCAAAGCATGCCTGTCTCCCCTGAGGTGCCTGGAAAGATTTGGGACTTCAGGGGATGTGGGGATGTTGTCAACATCCAAACAGGAGCCTTATCGTTCTGCTCGCAGTCGGATGATGCATGTCAGTTATTCCCATTGATAAATTTTACTGTGGAGTGGACGGTACTTCACACCTGTACAAACTACACTGGTAATCCTACAAGCTTAACCTCATATGCATTTCCTTAAAAGTGGCATTGCCCGTATGAGGTTACTTATTTCAGGGTCAGGCTTGCATGGAACATTTTCTGTCATTTATTGAACCTAGTAGTTGCAACAATAATTTGCTAAATGTGAGAAAACATTGAGAGCCGGCGCAGTGAAAGAGGACTAACTAGGCAGAAATCTTCTCTTCCTGTAGCTATTTGAAGGTGTTGGATCAGCTCCATAAGTAGAATAAACTGATGTAGCTCCAGTGACTGAAATGAAACTCTGCTTATTTGGAGCAACCGAAGAACTGGTAAATTGTCTGTCAAAACACAGGAGTCGAACATTGTGGGTGGGTTCTGGTTATATTAAATTACTGCCAGTGTTCACAGAGCTTTAAGAACAGGGCAAGGAAAGGACCTTTTTTCTAAACCTTCTTTCATATATAGTAACACAACATTTAAGTGGCTCATTATTTTTGTTTGGCCTAATTTGCAGTATTACTTGTAGCACTTCTACCACTTGTACAAAATCAACAGATTAATATTTTTGAAAAAATAAACTGGTATGGATGCACTGATTTACATGAAACATTTACACCAGCAGAGAACTTAGCAAGGCCAGACATAAAACCATCAGCTAACCCTTTTCGCTCAGCTTCTGAAATTGTTCTAATGAGACATCTTTAGCAAGTTTCAGCAGTGACAGTGTCTCTATCCCCTGAAATCCTATTGTGCTCATCCTCTGCTGAAGTACCCGTAAGACTTCTGCAGAGACAGTGGTAAACAGATCTCCATCAGTTCAGCCACGTCACAGCTAACCTTTAACATACCCAGTCTGCAAGCTGATATTAGCAATATCGTTTACCTGAACGCAGGATTTGCACTCTCCTACTGTTGTAGCTGTCAAGAAAACAGACTAATAGGAGAAAGATGAAGGAAATGGTGAATTACCAGCAGGAGAAGGATCTGTCAAGAAGACCAAAGTCTTGGTTGCTCCCTGTTCAGTTTTGGTGAAAGGGGTAAGAGGTGGTGGGGAAGTCTACTTTATCTGTTGTTGCAGAAGCTGCCGCTGTTACCTGTTTACATGCTGTGTTTGCAGTTTCTTCCTACAGTGCTCTTGTATTGCATGTAACAGATGCCCCTTCCTTCTACCATACTGTTTCTACTAAAAACGTAGCAGCAGCAGCAGCAGCAGCAGCAGCAGCAGCAGCAGCAGCAGCAGCAGCAGCAGCAGCAGCAGCAGCAGCAGCAGCAGCAGCAGCAGCAGCAGCAGCAGCAGCAGCAGCAGCAGCAGCAGCAGCAGCAGCAGCAGCAGCAGCAGCAGCAGCAGCAGCAGCAGCAGCAGCAGCAGCAGCAGCTTTCTTCTCCCTTTCTGCTTCTGTACATCTTTCCAAATCAAACACTGTGACCCTATTATTAATCCAAAAAAAACCCCAAGTGCTTGTTTTCCTCTGCATTTTCCAAGATAATGAACATGTTAATTATCAAAGAGCTTCCCATTTGAAAACTAGAACAACAACAGAAAACAACCACTGGAAAGGAAGAGACTTTCTTTAACCAACTATCAAATCGGTAAAGTGGTTAGCAAAGGTTCCCCCAGATGCTTATTCATCCTCCTCATGCTCAGAGTCTGAATGCTGCTTATCACATGGTTAAGATTCAACTCATAAAAACATGTCTCAGCAATTGGAATTTACCCTTTGACCTTGCCCACCCCCCGGGTCCCCCTGCTGTGATGCACAAGCTTTGTCTTCACCAAACAGATCACCGTTGCACTGGTGAAACTGCTTTCTTGCACAAGTTCAAAAACTCAGCAAACAGCAGGGACGAAAGCATATAACTATATATATATGTAAAATTTTCATGTTGTATCCTTACTGCACTCAGAGAAACATCAGAATTCTCTGGGTTTTGCCATTTCACATGCAAATATTTTTGTGCAATGCTGCACCCAGCCAAAACTCTGGTAGGAGCAATGAATTATTCAGTATGCTGAAATATTTTTTTCCCTTTAAACACTTTTTTTTGCACTGTGCAAAGGCATGTATATGCACATGTGGGGCTAGGAATAGGTATCACCCTGCTCCTGCTCTTTAAAGTTGTGCGTGGGGTCACTGTTGAGGAACAGCACATCTGCTTATGCTGGTTATTTGATGACATATGGTAATAGCTGCAGTGTTCTAGCTGGATGTGACACACCACAGCAAGTTAAGCAAAATAAACCTGCTAGCCTTTCTCCCCACCCCTACGTTAGAAAAAAAAGTATTTTTCTTTTGTAAAGTGAAGAGCCATTATTAGCTGTGGAAAAAGGATACAGTTGAGTGTTTCAAGTGGTAGGTTTCTGTGTGTGTGTGTATACGTGTATAAAAACTAACCAGACAGGCAGTTCTGCAATGGTAAATAGGGCACTTTATGCACACACAAAAACACATACGCATACACACACACATTCAACAACATTCAACCAGCTTTTAAGGAAAGATAATACCCTCAGACTAGAAGCTGAGCCCAGTGTTAATCTATCAGGCATACAAGCACAAGCTGTGGTGCAATCTGAGGATAACTCTACTACACAATTATGAGATTATATCCTCTTTAGAGGGTATAATTATGCCTCCTCTATATATCTTATTTAGAAGGCATAATGCCTCTCCCCTTAAAATGAAAAAACTGGTACGTAGAGATGCAGTGATTTCTGCTTCTATTGCACAAAGAATGTAGACTCCAGAAAGCTTTTGTATGCAGGATCGTTGGGCTTTGAGGAACAAGGTTGGACTCCTGATACATACTGGAAAAAATAAAAATTAGAAAGTCACAACCTTAGTGGATTTTGGTGATAGGAAGCTACATCTTGTAAGATTTTCTCCAAATTCATTTTCACAGATGTCTTAGTAATGACTGTTTGACAGCTTAAATTAAACATGCCAGTCAGTAGCATCAGGATTTTTCCTTGCCATAATAAAATTGAAGGCATCTTTTAAAGCAAAACTCCTCTTTGTATTTAACACCATTAGCTACCAACAATATGTGGGTCCAGGTGTTGCAGACTCAGGAGGTACAGAAGAGGTGGTAATAAGGCAGTGGCACATTTTATCCAGAAACTGATAGATAATTTAACTTTTTGTTTCCCATTTTGTTGCGCCATTTAATCTTTTCTAGCTCAGATCAAAGGATTGCTCATTTTAGGAGATACTGCTTATTGTTACTGTCCAGTACATGTGATGTCCACTTAATAATATGTGCCATCATAAGGCATAAGGTCCTTCTTAGTTTGTTTTCAAAGATTCTAAGGAGTCTCATAGCTGTACTCTTTTTCATAGAGCTGAGGTTGCTGCAAACCTAAAGATAAATCTGCAAATCTACGTGGCTATTCTTTATCATTGTCACTAGCTTAGTGGTGGTCTGCCATTTTTCTTGAAAGCCGGGCACCAACTGCTGGCCAGAAGTATTTTTCACTGAATTCTTTGTACTTTAAATAAACTACTGCTTCAAGAACTGCCAAGTGTTCCTCATTCATCTTCAGGACACAGAGCTTCATGTATATCTTTGCAAGCCTTGACTCTGTGAAATGTTTGTCTCATCTCTCTGCCATCTATAGCAGTCTTTGAACTCACTTCAGGTTTATTGATGGCCTTGACTAAATTAATGCAGATGTAACTTTTTTTAAAAAGGTTTACACTACATCTAATCATATGCAAAATAAATCCTCGTTTAAAGAAACTCATCATATATTCTTCTTGTCTTGTTCTAAAAGGTCTTTCTGGACTCATTCAGTAAATGTTGCTGAAAGTGTAGGGAGTGGGAAATTGTTGTTTCCTTTGGCATTTCTCATCTTAAAGTGGTAGAAGAATATGCATCCGCTTTTCCCTGTGGAGGGAGAGATAATGTGATAACCTTCTGATTATACACATAAGCGGAAGCTGATCAGCTTCTCTTGTGGTTCGTTTTTAAGGGCAAGTTCCAGTTGGATTGTGCTAATGCACATATTCATGAATCTCTCCAAACAGGATTCACTGCTCTCCAGGGAACTGTTGAAGTATGCATCATTGTTTCAATGAAGTATCTTCATTATAAAACATAGGGACTATAAAAGGTGAATACCATTTGCCTCGGCATAATATAATCTCCAGTTTGACTTTCTTCCACTGTAGTGATTTTTAACAGAATCAGAGGGAATGAAATGACAGAATTTCAAATGAAATATTACATGACATTAGATACACGTGCCTTGATAAAGGAAGCATTTTATTTTCCATTGTTTTATTAAAATAGGGAAAAATTAGTGAAATAAAAAAAATCTTTAGGATCACATTTCCAATTCAGAGCAGCTCAATGGGGATTTTTGATCTCTGGAGGTCCATAGTTTATTATGTAACTGCATTAAAACAAAGTGGAACTGAGAGACTGCAATGCTGAGTAAATACCTTTAAGGTTCAGGAAAGAAGGCAGATGATGGAATCTGTACTGAAATCAATCACAAAACAAATTTTGCTCATCACAAAGAATGGGGTAACATGAATATCTCTCTAGACTTTTAATTATTAGTCAGGCTTCATATTATTTCACTCTATAATTATTTTTAAAGCATCCAACACTTTCATGTATTCTAATATGCACATTACAAACAGCAGTTAACATTACATTTAAATATAGTGGGAAACAGAGGAATGTTAGAATATTATCTGAAGAGGCTTCTTAAGGCAGGGAGCATTATGGTGAAGAAGCACAACTACTTTGCTGCAAACAATTACTTTGCTGCAAACAAAAGTTTATATACAGATATTACATATATAAAAATATGTTTATATAATAGATATTTGCTAATATATATTAATACAGAAATGTGGGCTTTTTTGAGACTACAATGTAAGTCTCACAGCAGGAAAGTTTTTATGTAGCTTGCAGCAATAGGTAGTGTATAAACGTGGAGATAGGCATGATCCTTGCTCAAGTTGCTTGTGATCTGAGCAGAGCATAGGCAACTCTATTCAGATAGATATAATATAGTATGCAGGTTGAAGGTCCAATGTTAAAAGTATTAAAATAATATTGGACTGTTTTATTGTTTTGCTTTTTATTTGAGAAAAAAATAACATGTTATTCAAGGTAAAATACTGGTGAAGATATCCAGCTCTGGGTGGCCTTGTGACTTCAGATAGCTCCGCATTACATTAGAAAATGCTTTATATTTTAGTTTGTTTTCACAGTGTAAAATTCATGCCTGTGTATAGGAGCAAAACATGGCCTATGGCCCACTTAAATTCCACTCAAGCTGTATTTGGAAAGCTTAAGTGGGGCTTATATAGTGAATAGGACTTTTCCTGGCACTTTGATCCGTGATGGATTTCTCTTGTTGTAGCAGTGGTGACACAAGTCATGTGTTCTATAATGACACCAGATTTATGAAAAGCTGTCATGGTCAAAAGCAATCACATGCACAAAAAAAAAAATCTGGTGCTACATCATCAGCAATGTTAGAAGAATTACACATATTTCACAGTTTGGTTCAACGTCACCAGGTCTCTGACAACAGATAGCTGGCATTCGTAGTATGACTGGGAGTTTCCAGTCAACCCCCTCCTACTCCTTCAAATTCTGTTTAACTGAGTATCTTGGCAACTAGACCTCAAAATATGCTTTGCTCTCAACTGCTTCCTTTTAAAAGGCAAAGCATCAATAAGCGTTTCCATACCACATTGCTCCTCTGATTAGAGTAGTGTCTTTGGCGGCCAACTGGTGCCTGCAGAACTTAACTACACTTGCAAGATACAATAACATCCTAGAAAACCTGGCTGGGAGATATAATGAATCATTCATTATTGACTTCTTGACAGGGCAAGGGACTGCTGTCTTGTGCCTTTTCATGAATGTTCAGGATGTTTGCACCTCCTAGCTACTCCTAGGAAAGCCTCAGGATGATAATAGACCTGATGCTCCGGAGAATAAGAGCCAACATTTCCATATAGCAGCACTACTACATGAGATAAAGCATCAGCAGACAGGCATTGAGAAAAGATGCAACTGCAGCCCTTCTCTTACGTTAATTTGTAAATGAGCAGAGTGCAACTGGCAAAGGGGCCAGTTCTACAGAAATTCACCTACAGAAATTAACCCGTTTTTCTGATGAATAACCAGCTGTTGTCTCCATGACTAAGGACAGATCTGGCCCTTTTGGGGAGGTGTACTCATGGGAAGTAGAAAGATGCTTTGTCCCAGACTTAAGCATCACAAGGTGCAAAATAGACATGAATTAAAAATCATTATGCAAATGTATGCATTATAAAATATTTGAAGTTTTTGTTTCCTGGACTGATTGTGAGAAGTTTTTCAGAAGTACTTCAAATTGACCATTCAAATATTGAGTTGTGCTCTTTCTTCTAGCTCACAGAAGTCATACTGTATTATTTTCTGTTTCTGCCAGGTGAGAGCAACTCGTACGTGAAGAAGCCTTTGTGGTTTTGAATGTCACTAAAAAGGCAACAGTTTTGGAGAATGCATCGTGCCTGAGAATATTCTAGAGCGTTCTCTGTCTTTTCTTACCGTGACCACTTAAGCATCATGTCAGTATAAAACTTGATGGCAAGGTCACATGTAGCACATGATACTGCTTCAGGAAGGGCGTGCTCAGAAGCTTGTCTTTTATAGTTTTAACTGTGCTGGATCTTAGTCTGTGAATTTTAGGAATTTCTTTCTGTAAACCTTCTAGTATTATGCCTTGTCCAATTTTAAATCTTCAACTTCTGGGGTATGTGTGTATAGGCATTTAAAATTTGATTTCAAGTGGTCTCCTGTGTAAATACAATTTCTTGTATGACAGAAAAAGAAACTCATCAGAATAAGCAAAATCGGAACAGTTGTAGCGCTGGCCTAGCACTAGGATTATAAATAGCAGATGTATGTTGAGTCAGCTGCATACCGGTGTTGCACCTCCATTGCTACAGGACAGAAAAGTCTATTTCCTCCACTTTTCTAGGAGGGAATCAGGCTTATTTGGATCAACAGATAGGTAGAGAAACAGCTCTAAAGACAAAAAGAGAGCAGTTGCAAAGGCCACTGATTTTTCTCCCCCAGAAAATGGCTGGTGTTATTATAGAAATGGCACATGAAGGAATTGTGAAGGAGGAAACTAAAGCTAGTACTCAAAATTAGTTAACAAAATCCCAAGATAAGCTTTGATGAATAATATAAATGCCCATATGTTACTTGCCCATATGTCTGTAACATAAGTGCCTACTGTTGTCTTTACTCTCTGATTTTTCTGATATGTTGTATTCCTCGTGTTCATTAAAAAATAGCTTACAAATAAGTAAAGGATTTTATTACCAATGGAGTGACAGAACAATATAATTATCATGTCAGGCAACACAGCATTTTGCAGTAACTCAGTCAATAATTTATGTCATCATTGTACATTTTTAAATAATAACTACTATTTTTAAAAGCACATTAGTGTCATGAAGACATCATAGTAGCTCGCAAGGTACATTTTAAATAACGATATAATAGGAACCATGAAAGGATTCACATACCTTTGGACATAGGTAGGATCCAAACACTGCAGACTGGATTGGCCGGGTGAAGTCCAAGTTCCACTGAAAGCAATCCTCCTATTGACTTCAGTGAGGTGTGACTTTCACCCGCTGTTTTCATGTTAGGCTGTGGAACACTGCTAACATAATGCATCAAAAAATGACTTCTCGTCAGTCAGGGTTTTAGTACAGAGCTGATCATCTGAGAGATAAAGTAAATCAATGTGGATCAAACCTTTTCTAAAGGGATCTTAAAGGTCAAGTTGATGGTTCAGTCATTGTGATTGCTTAACTCTTAGACTCTGTGTAGAGACTTGCTGGCTGTAGTACTAGTTTTGGAGATGTGAGTAGAATCGGATTGAGCCCACCAGATTAATTCACAGAGGTGACCGTCCAGTTGTCAGACATTGGCTTTCTCTCAAGCAGAATCTGAACTGGAAATCTAGATGGAAGGGTTATCATATCGCAGTCTTCAACCCAGGCTTTCATCTGTTAGTAAGCTTTATTGCAAAATTAAAGATAGAATCAATTATGGTGACATATTAAATGTATTTATGACATTAAGTACAAAAAATCCTCCCTTACAATTGATGCAACTCACTACATGAGTAACATTGCTACCATTAATATCATGAGTAATATTATTATATTATAAGACAAAACTCAGATCTTGTTCAAAAGCTATCATTATTAAATAAAAATATAAAAGTAAAAATCAAGTGGAAGAGTCTTGGCTTCTTTTTCTTAACTTCTTAAGGGCAAAGGAAGCAGGCTCCAACCCAGGCCTGTAGTTTCATGCAAGTGTGACAGAAAGATTAAAACATTAGAGGACTGCAGGAACGTAATAGAGAGGGAATTATATAAATGCAGAAAAGGAATGTATAGTTTTGCTTGTTCTTTATAAAGGTTAGAGTCTTTGGAATATAGATTTTAATATGTCTCAGTAACAAAAAAAACATCCTAGGCCACCAACTGATTTTTTTCTTCCTTGAGGAGGATACCTGTGAATAAAGAAAAGGGAAGATGAAATTGAACATTGGGTTGAACAGCTTTCAAAAAAACAACACCTTTTTCATGGAAGACTACCACTTAAAAAAAAAAAAAGAGAGAGAGAGATCGAGAGAGAGAGAGAGAGAAATTTAGAAATAAGAGATAACAGTTTAAATAACAGTTTATTTTTCCTTTATATATATTCTCTCTCCATCCCCATCTCTCTAGAAGGCCAAAGCAAGTCATAGCTGTCGGGCTTTTATATAACTCATTCTTCGTACAAAAAAGTGACACGTATTGGTTATTTAACAAACTCCCTCTTACTTTTTTGTCTTTCTCAATACAGGCAGGATATTAGACAGTACATACAAACATGTATATCAAGGAATTTCAGATAGAGACATGCAATGCTACACTACATATTTCTGCAAAATAAGAGAGAAAGAATAACAGCAGTAAAGTCTGTAATGCAATACAGTATAATTAATAAGTGCACAGATATATAGAAATGCTTTGAAAATGTTCATAATATTGGAGGATAAACTACCATTTCATGCCTTCTTCTGTTGCAAGAGAAAGCATCAAGCAAATCCCTTAGAGTTTGAGTTGGGTATTGTACTTTACTATTTGCACATCATCTACTTGTGCTGTTAGGTCAAATAACAAGGCATAAGCTCCTAATGGCTCCCTTTCTTCTCTAGGAGCAGACTTTTCTTCTTACCTTGTCCTATTAAAAGTTGCATTGATGACAAATAAGTCACAGATATCAAAAATAAATGCAGTTTGTTGATTGAAACCTCCATCTGTCTTATCTGGCACCAGTTCCATTTGATGATTATGACACAAGCTTCAGTAACATCAAAGTCGTGTGTCTTCTTTAAACTCAGTGAAGAAGAAAGCAGTATATACATCTTATATATGTAGCCACACACTGGCTGTTATATTTCCACGCAGAGTAAGTCCATTTCAATAACAAATCAGACTGTGGTAACCACAAAGTCAGAAAAAACATGAAGTAAGGAGTTCATTGAGCACTGTTTGCAAGTATCTGGTTCTATCAATTCACGTGGACAGAGCTTGGAAGCTTTGGGTTTTTTTTTTCAGGTTTTCAGAACTGCAGTGTACAGAAATAGCTAGGAATCTGTCAAGAAAACCCTTTCTTAAAGTGTGTTTTTAATTCTGAGGACAGTTTGGTCTGGACTCTGGAAGTCTAGAGCATTAAAAAATGATAGCGAATAAATAATAAATTAAACTTTTTGAAATCATAGGCAAGGTTAATCTCAAGTTTTGTCTTCATTACAGAGAACTTACATGTGAAAGTCTCCTCCTTTCCTGTTTTTTGTTTATCCCAGCCGCTGTCTACATCCTGTGCATAGTTTTCATCAAATGGTAGGTCAGGTTGATTTGCCTGCGAGTAAATAGAGGGAAGAAAAGGATTCTCTGACAGAACTTTCACCACCTTATTCCACTGCCATACTCTTTTATAGGGAAAAAAAAAAAAAAAAACAAAGAGGAACCTGGGAATAAGTTAACGTTTACCTTGATCCAAAGAGTTGTGGCTGAGAAGCTGTGCTCCTCCTCACGCTTCCAATACCTGCATAGCAGATTGCCCCTACAGCCTCTGCTGGAGAAGCTGCTTTCTGCTCTGCATTGCTGCAGTTGGAAGAGATACAGCTTTCAGGTCCATAAAGCGCCCTGAGAATGAAAGTGGTCAGGAAGAAAGTTTCCTATTCGGATATAAGGTCATTATTTTAGCGACTCCTAGAGCTGCGATTTCAAAACACACCGGACTCCAGTATGTTTCCATCCACTATGTCATCATCAATAGGAGTCACTAAGAACGAAGCAGTCACTTTATTAAAACAACGGAAGCAAGGAATCCTGCACTGCTGAACGTACTTTTCAGAAGCAAGCTAGATATGGATTTTTTTATACTACCAAATCGCAACTTTTACCTCAGTGAGCTTGGTAAGCGTTTCCAAACAGGGAGTCCAAGGTAAACTACATCACTTGTCTCCACTCGCCCTTGCTCTCTGCTTTTGCTTTCTCCGGGAATCCTTGTGAGCAGAAGGAATTTTGTCTGCATTAGGCAGAAGCAGCACAAAATAGGGAAAACGTGGCCCTCACTGCAGGGAGTGTGACACATGGCAGAATGAGCATGGCCAGCACAGAAATTCAGCTTTCGCAGAATCCCTTGTAGTCAGAAGCTGAATGTAAAGCTACTTCCCACAGGATAAAGCCAAAGAGAAGAGAAACAGCAGTGCTGTGTGCCATCCCCTGACGGGGGATTGTACACTTTCCTCAGTACAGTTCCCGCTGCAAGTCCTCTTATGCAGACTCCTCTCTTACATACACCCTTTGACAGAAGCTTGCTATTTCGACTGAAGGCTTCATAATTAACAAAAAAAAAAAAGGGGGCTGAAATTCAAAAGCTTTGCAGTCTTGCTTTCATTTTGCTAACAGGATGGTTATTTAAGTGTATACGAACCTCTTTGTTATGGATGGAAGGCTAGGAATGGTATAAAAATGTATTTCTCACAAGTTTTCCAGATTGAATGCCTTTAGACTGGATATAATCCTGAAGATTTTTCTAGATTCTTGCTTTCTGTTCTGAGCTTAATTATCAGGTGCTCAAACTCGTTACATTAAAGCTCAGAAAATGAAACCATCAGTGGCTAGATTTGTGTTAACCTTACCTCAGGCTCATCTTCAGTGTGGTTAGAGGAATGGATGAAGGTTCAATCCGGCTCTCATTTCATTCATGCTAGTTGGCCCATCTCTAATCATAATGCAACAAACTACCTCAGCAGCTCCTACAACCAAGCTATCAACGTGACCTTGTCATTTCAATTTTTCACACATTTTCTTTGCTTTTTCCCCCCCCTGTGCCTGTGTACCATATCGCACTAAAATCTCATCTCTCCAGCCTACTGCCATGGGCTACTAATCTGTAATACAGCTCAGTCTCAGAAATGTCAAGCAGGATGAAAAAGGTAAAACTTACAGAAGAGAAACTTCAGTTGGCCATAGCCTCTCCCATGAAATTCTCTCTCACTGGCTCTTCACTTTTCCCCAGCACTGCAGCCCAGCCTGGGGATCGCAGGGTTTGGCTTTGCTGCTTATCAGAGTGACCCGTGGAGACTAACCATCAGTATTGGCTCTAAACATGAGAGAAATAAGCATACTACAAACAAAATACTCCTTCTTTCTCTGCCAGGAAAAACAGGAGCAGTTCACAGGATTATTTTTCTAAAATTGCCTAATCTTCGTTCTCTGTTCCTTGTCTCTGCACTGTTCCCATTCCCTGAAAATATCAAAGCCCCATAGATTTCCCCGTCTTCTTATCTTCACTATGACAGCAATGCTTGTCCAAATGGGGACAAACATCCAATCAATCTAGCCTGATATTATTTGAAATTGAATCCAAATACTTGAGCAAATAATTTCTGATCATTCCCTTCTAAGGTAATAAAAAAATCATTAATCATATGTGGAGTAAATTAGAACAATTAGTGAATTAATGGAAGTAATGATTTGCTCACAGGTATTTTATATATAGGAAGAAAGAAACTAAATTTATCTAAGAAATCATTTTGAATTACTTGCTCAGTTTCAGCTATATGTACTCTGAGTCAGTGGTTAGAGCAATCTATCAGGCTTCCAGCTCTGTCTGATCCAGCTTCTCCAAACAAAATCTGCCAGAAAAGCGATGACATGTGTAGTAAATATTTTTTCTAAAGCTCACACTGTGATCCATTTAGAGAACTGAGGGTCTGGCTTATGCCCAGAGCCTCCGGTTTTCTGACCAATCTCATTTCAACCAAGGCCAGGCATTTAAGGATGATAACTCTGCATACATAGCATGCTTTATACACAACATAAACTTTATCAGTGACTTTCTATATGGTAGAAAGGGACTTCCCTTTTACCTTTGTCCATTATTCTGAAAGGCCAGAAATCTTCATCTACTGTGGGTGTAAGAAAATACAGCTTGCAAAAGCATCAGATCAGACGTGGGTTTTCATCTCTGTCCATTTTCTCTCACATGAAAGACTTCTGGAGCAAGCAAAGCATGCTTTTGTTGACCAGCAAAGATCAAAAAGGCAGATTATTTTTGTCCTTCAGCCACTAGACCGATACTCTCAGTTCTGTTAACATTCTGCCCTCATTTGAACTGGACACTTTGGAAGTATCAATAATGCAAGTTGGAGGGCTGCACTATCACTCATCCTGTATTTGCCTCTTCTTCTACAAAATTAAATCAAGTTGAAATCAAAGGAGACACAATCTCAGTCATATAGGCAGAAAATCTCCTGTAGCTTTGCAGCACTTCTCCGTGAAATATTTGAAAATATTTATGTTGGCAGCAGTGACTGATCCACATTGTGAGAGCAGAGTTAACAAAATACTTCCACCCCGTGGAGACATAAACAAAGTGTTGGAAGCCACTCATCATACCATCCACCTTCTCCCCGCTTCCCTGACAGGCGCATCTCTTGAAACAGAATGTTGTTTTACAGGAACATCAGAAAGTGCAAAAGTAACTAATAAAACAGTGACAGTCCCACTGTTACCCCAAGGACTAGGACCAATAAACTGTGCACCCCTATTATTTATGAGTGAACAGAATATATGTAGCTATCAGAGCCCTTTCTTAACATCACAGATTGGGTCAA